CTTTCTGAGTAGTTGCCAGTTTAATTTTCAGTATGTGCAAATTGGAGGTAAATTATTTATTACTTCCAGCAAATGTCTTTCACTATTTTATTTAATTTTTTCACCATTTTTAATGGATCATAAAATGGCAGTCTTTTATTGGATATGCATAAAGTCAGTAGCAAATGAATACCTTGCAGATAGGTTACTACAGATTGAAATGTCAATCATATTTCATGGAGTATGAAATTTCTCAGATCAGAGTAGCTCTGACATATGGCACTGAATTATTCCCCTGTTTTGGAATTGTCATACATCTTTAAAAATTAAATAAAAGCACTTTGACCATTAGGCCTTCTTAAATTTTATTTAATGAATTATATATCACAATACTATTTAATATTTTCTCAAATGGAATAAATTTGTTTTATCACAATTAATTGAGTACCAATTGATATTAAAATGCACTTCAAACAATCTTTTTGTTATGTTAGATTGTTTGGGCTTCTTTTATCCATCTACTTGGGGAAACATTTTTTTAAATATGGAGCAAAGAGTGGAAGCAATTCTAAACAATGTAGAACCAATTTATAGAAAAGGAACTTGAAAGAGCTGTTAGTTCTCAGCCTATCTTCCCAGACCATCATGTGTTATCTGTACTATGGGCCGGTCCTGTCTCAGAAGGTTCTTCCTTATATTTCACGAACTTCACTTTCTCACCTGCCCAGCTGTTTCTTCTTAGATGTGACCTCAGGCTCTTCTTCTTGCAGTCCTTTAACTCTCAGTTTTCACCATGATTGCATTTCTGATCCACAAACACATCTTCTCTGCTTCCTTTTCTTGCTGATGAGCTTCAGATCTCCAGACAAGATATTTTCCTTAACGTGAAACCCACTATTCAAATGTCCACTATCCAGATGTCTACTAACTCACTTATATTTCCCATAGTCACCTTACTCTTGAAGTTCCAAGTCAAACTCATGTTTTTCTGTTCAAACCTGCTTCTTTTCCTATGTTTTCTGTGTAGGTTTATCCACCCACTTGTACAAGATGGAACCTATGAAGTCATCTTTATTCCTTCTTCCTCACCTACAGCCAATAAGTGTCCAAGTCCATTTATTCTAAGTCCTAAGTATCTCTCAGTTTTTATTTTCACACCACCCTCGTTGCCACTATTTTTAGTTCTACTTTGATTCTTATGTGAAACACAGTAAGATACTCTTAACTGGTCTTTCTACTGTAGAAATTTACTCTTCCAAGCCATGCTCTATACTGCAACAAAAGTGATATTTGTAAAACACAATTTTGATCATATTTCTACCTAGTTTAAAAACTCTTAAGACTAATTCCACATCTCTAAAGATGGCATCCTGGATTTTTCCCCTTATTCCCCTTTAGCCTGAAGACATATATTCTCACTCACACTCTGGGTTGCTGTATATTTAATGGCTTTCAGCTCCTTGACTGTTCTTTGCCTTTCTTGCCTTCCAGCCTGTCAAATAGTGCTCCATCTTCTTGAATCCCCTTCTAATCTCTTTTCCTAACTTCTAATCATTCTTTAGGATTCATCTTAGAGGTGAATTCCTGCAGGAAACCTTTGTTGATGCCCATGGCAAGGCTGAATCAGTTATGTCTCCCCCCCCATTCTCTGGAACGCCTGTGCATATATCTATTTTAGTTAATATCACACTCATGTCATTGCTTATATGACTTCCTTTCAATTACATTGTAATGTTTTCTTTATTGGTTGCTGCAGCCCTACTACCAAGCACAGCCTAGGTTGGCCTATTGCAGGTAATTTATGAATATATATTTAATTAACTAGTAATAGAATGATTGAGTGGTTGATTAAATAAGCTTATTGTAAAATATTCATAAACTAATTGGGAATGCAATTTTAGGTTTAACTCACAGCTCAACATTTCTACTGTTGCCCCACCCTGTGTGTAATTAAGTAAAAATGACATAGCTTTAATATATTTTTGTTTGTAATAAAAGCTCTATAACTGAGAGTATGGGTTTATTGTCTTGATTATATAGAAGTTATATAGCAACAGGAATGAGAAATCCATATATACTAACAGAAGTAACATGAAAAATTACAGAAAACTTTAAACACATATACTGGAGCCTTGGGGCGAAGAAAATCAAGGTATTGAGTTTGGTTAGAGGGTAAGATGGTTTTATCAATGAGTGTAGTAAGCAAGTAGCATAGTTTTGTAAAAAGGCCTTTTCCCAGCAAGCGTGTGTGTCTGTGTGTGTGTGTGTGTGTGTGTTCACAAATAAATATCTCAGCATGTAGTAAATGTTATTATAGTTATACATAAGAAATATGTGAATATAGTGAAAAATTAAAGAAGTGATACTAAGCCCTTGTCCGTGAGAGAGATTTAAATATAAAACCCTAAAATATTTACCAAGGATTAAGGTAGTTTGTGGTAGAAGTGACTACAGAGTCAGAGAAGTCCAATATTTGGGCAAGTTACCTTTTAAGCTTCAGGTTACATATTTGGAAAATTGAGATAATACTACTTCCTACCTCATTGGCTTACTGTGAGAATTAAATGAGAAGGTAAATTTAATATGGCTAATAGTTAGGATTGATAAATGCCATAATCATTAATACTGCTGTTGACAGCAATACTTTGATCAAGAAGGTGAGGATTATATTTTTTCAATTGAGTCCACATGTCAAAAGATTCACCAGGTAGCTATCCATGTATGCAGAGTCTTTTTTTCTTTAACACTCATCTGAGGATATGCTTATTGATTTTAGAGGGCAGTGGAGAAACATTGATTGGTTGCTTCCTGTATACGTGCCGACAGGGGCTCGAACCTGCAACCTAAGAGAGAGAGAGAGAGAGAGAGAAAGAGAGGTGAAGGAGAACATTGATTGGTCACATTCTATACATGCCCAGACCAGGAGTCTAACTGGAAAGCTTTTGGTGTACAGGACTAGTCCCAACGCACTGGGCCACACCAGCCAGGCCTCAGGGTCTGTGGAGTCTTAGATCAGTTTTATTTGACAGCAGCCACATTATACTAGATTGAGTTTTGGAGGATAATGTGTAGTTATTTTGGTTGCCTACAAATCTCATCAGCATGCATCCCCACCA